CGTTACTTAGGGCCACAGAAACGTTACTTAGGGCCACAGAATTGTTACTTAGGGACAGACACAGAATTGTTATTGAGGGACACAGAATTGTTACTGAGGGCCACAGAACCGTTACTTAGGGCCACAGAAACGTTACTTAGGGCCACAGAATTGTTACTTAGGGACAGACACAGAATTGTTACTGAGGGACACAGATTTGTTACTGAGGGCCACAGAAACATTACTTAGGGCCACAGAAACATTACTTAGGGCCACAGAAACATACTTTAGGGCCACAGAAACATTACTTAGGGCCACAGAATCGTTAGTTAGGGCCACAGAAACGTTACTTAGGGCCACAGAAACGTTACTTAGGGCCACAGAATTGTTACTTAGGGACAGACACAGAATTGTTACTGAGGGATACAGAATTGTTACTGAGGGCCACAGAATCGTTACTTAGGGCCACAGAAACGTTACTTAGGGCCACAGAAACGTTACTTAGGGCCACAGAATTGTTACTTAGGGACAGACACAGAATTGTTATTGAGGGACACAGAATTGTTACTGAGGCCACAGAACCGTTACTTAGGGCCACAGAAACGTTACTTAGGGCCACAGAATTGTTACTGAGAGGGACACAGATTTGTTACTGAGGGCCACAGAAACGTTACTTAGGGCCACAGAAACGTTACTTAGAGCCACAGAATCGTTACTTAGGGGCCACAGAAACGTTACTTAGGGCCACAGAAACGTTACTTAGGGCCACAGAAACGTTACTTAGGGCTACAGAAACGTTACTTAGGGCCACAGAATCGTTACTTAGGGCCACAGAAACGTTACTTAGGGCCACAGAAACGTTACTTAGGGACACAGAATTGTTTTACTCAGGGACAGACACAGAATTGTTACTGAGGGACACAGATTTGTTACTGAGGGCCACAGAACCGTTACTTAGGGCCACAGAAACGTTACTTAGGGACACAGAATTGTTACTCAGGGACAGACACAGAATTGTTACTCAGGGACACAGAATTGTTACTGAGGGACACAGAATTGTTACTGAGGGACACAGAATTGTTACTCAGGGACACAGAATTGTTACTCAGGGACACAGAATTGTTACTCAGGGACACAGAATTGTTTTACTCAGAGGGACACAGAATTGTTACTCAGCGGGACACAGAATTGTTACTCAGGGACACAGAATTGTTACTCAGGGACACAGAAATTGTTACTCAGGGACACAGAATTGTTACTCAGGACACAGAATTGTTACTGAGGGACACAGAATTGTTACTTAGGGCCAGAGAAACGTTACTCAGGGACACAGAATTGTTACTCAGGATAGACACAGAATTGTTACTCAGGGACAGACACAGAATTGTTACTGAGGGACACAGAAATGTTACTGAGGGACACAGAATTGTTACTGAGGGCCACAGAATTGTTACTGAGGGCCACAGAACTGTTACTTAGGGCCACAGAAACGTTACTCAGGGACACAGAATTGTTACTCAGGGACAGACACAGAATTGTTACTCAGGGACACAGAATCGTTTAATTAAAGAGTATGTCAGACAACATGCAGAGGAGTGCAGAGGAGGCAATGTTTTAGGAGCGAGCAGACGTGGCAGCAGAGGAAGGGGTCGAGGCAGCACTATTCGCAGCCAGAGGCCAGTGCTCCCGGTGTCATCCAGCGGTCATGTCTCCACCGACAACCCTGCCGTCATCGATTGGTTGGCTCGGTCGTCTTCCTCTTCCCAGGTCACCTCTGACATCTACAGCCAACGGTCGGTGGGTACGTCAGACACAACCGTTAGTTGGCATGGCCCGGGAGCAAGCCCACTGAAATCACGTGTCTCTACCTGCCCCTGTCCTTTGGTGTTCCCCTCACCAAGCGAAGTATCGCATGCTGTGGGCTCAGCCCACTGTACAGTGAGGAAGAGCTAACAGAGAGGGCGGTCAGGAACGGGGGGAGACATCCGCCTCTTCAGCAGCCAGGCGAAGAAGTAGTGGCGAGGAGAGTGGCTCGGTAGCCGGTCTAGAGACAGGTCTGTCTCCTGACCCACACACAGCCGAGGGGCTAGTAGTGAGGCGGAGACCCTAATTGATGATGATGAGGCTGATCGCACTTGGCAGCCTCGTCGTCATCAGGCTATTGCTTTCCGCATCATCAGGAGAAGAGGGTGCCAGCTTGGCAGCGAGCAAAACAGTCGGTGGGTTGCCCAGGAGGCAGCAGGGTTGCAGCAGTGTCAGTGGAGGCAAACGGCCACGGAGTACAGCACCAGCTCCACTGCAGCCTACCACCACGGCCAGTAGTGGTGCCGGTGTGCACGGAGGAAGCAGCAGTCAGCCAGTGAGGAGTATCGGGGGCAAAGTTTCCTACTCGGCGGTGTGGCAATTTTTTGTCAAGCCGCCCGAGGAAGTAAACGTAGCCGTATGTCGACTATGTGGCCAGAAAGTCAAGCGTGGCCAGGGGGCCCATGTTGGGACTACAGCGTTGCGGCAGCATATGCAGCGTCGCCATTAGGTGGCCTGGGAAAACCGTGATAAAGATACGGCGGTTCTGCCCGCTCCAGCCCCCGCTCCATCACCCGCTCCGTTACTTGCTCCGTCACCCGACGTCAATCGCCCTCTATCAGCCAGTCAAGGCTCCAACACCTCTGCTGAGGGGAGTTGTCGCTCGTTGCCATCTTCCGCTCGTTCAGATGCTCCTTCTCCTGCTACTCCTCTTCACGGATTCTGTCAGCAGTCTTTCTTGGAATCCGTTTCCAAGAGACAACAGTTTTGCGAGCACGCACCCGATGGTGCAAAAGCTGAACGTCCTCCTGTCCAAGTTGCTGGTGCTGCAGTCCCTCCCTTTCCAAGTGGTGGACTCAGCACCTTTCTGAGAAATGATGGCTTGTGCCGCGCCGCGGTGGAGAGTGCCAAGCCGTCATTTCTTTGCCAAAAAGGCAGTGCCAGCCCTGCATTCACATGTAGAAGAGATGGTGGGCCAGTCTTTGAGCATGTCGGTCGCTGCCAAAGTGCACGGCAGCGCCGACGTGTGGAGCTGTAACTACGGTCAGGGACAGTACATGTCATTTACGGCCCACTGGGTGAACGTGGTGCCGTCACAGCTGCACCAGCAACTTGGACAGGTCACGCCGCTTTTGCCTCCACGTTTGCACGTCCTTGGTCCACAAAAGATGTCCGCCTCTACCACCTCTTCTTCCTTCGTGTCCTCAGCCGCCACCCCCGTGCCAAGTCCCATTACCCGACCGGCATATCACATGTGCAGGGCGCAACGGTGTCACGCTGTGCTGCACCTGGTATGCCTTGGTGAACGTAGTCACACAGGGGAGGAACTTCTCAGTGTAATGAACAGAGAAATCGACAGATGGCTGTCTCTGCGCAAACTGAAAATCGGAACCATGTTGACCGACAACGGAAAGAACATGGTGTCTGCTCTGCGTCAAGGAAGGTTGTGCCATGCGCCATGCATGGCTCACGTGTTCAATCTGGTTGTCAAGCGGTTCCTAAAATCCACCATCCCACTGCAAGACATCCTTAAAATGTCACGTAAACTTTGCATGCATTTCAGCCATTCCTACACCGCAAAGCACACCCTCCTTGAGCTGCAGCGCCGGAGAATGGAATTCCACAGCATCGCCTGATCTGCGACGTTGCAACAAGGTGGAATTCAACCCTACACATGTTAGACCGCCTTTACGAACAGCGAAAGGCCATCACCGATTTCCTGATGTTACAAGCGGATAAAGGTACTCCCCTGTGTAACTTCGATGTCAGCCATTGGCAGCTCATGCGTGACACCTGCCGCTTGCTCAGGCCGTTTGAGGAGGCCACGCTATTCGTGAGTCGGCAGGACTATGGGATGAACGACATCATTCCTCTGTTGCACGTCCTGGAACAAATGCTGTTAACAATGGCTGGTCAGGGTGCGGTAGACGTGGCGCACAGATCTCAACGCCACATGACCCCTGTGGGGGCAGGACAGAAAGAAGAGGAGAAGTAGAGGAGGACATTTGTGCTCAGGAATTATTGAGTGAAATGGGTGGTTTTTCCACTCAGCGGACAGGAGTGGAGGAGCAGGAGCATCTGGTAGAGGAGGAGGAGGAGACAGAGGACCCAGACGCACCGTGGCAGTATGCTGTGGAGATGGAGGCAGGGAGTCCCTCGCATTCCTTGGCACAAATGGCCCATAGCATGCTCGGTTGCTTGCGTAGCGACAGCCGAATAATAACCATCAGACAGAGGGATGACTTTTGGCTGTCCACCTTGTTGGACCCTCGTTACCATTCAAAAATGGTGGCCTTTTTCACACCTGCTGAGAGGGAGGCCAAAATAACGTACTATAAAAACCACCTATGTAGTCAGTTGGTCTCTGCCTTTGTGCGCCAACGTCCATCCTCAGACACTGTGGGCCCTGTGCGCTCGCGTTCCGCTGCCGTGGCAGCAGGGGAGGGGTGGGGTGGTAGGAACAGTGGTAGCTCCACCAGCAGCGGCTGCCTCAGTCTGCAGTCGATGATGAGTAGCTTTCTTCACCAGCGCAGTGAGGAAACTACTAACCAGCCGCAGCAGCAGCAGCATCAGGTGGACCTGGAGCAGGAGCTCAAACAACAGGCTTGGGCCTACTTGGACAGCACCCTGCCAACCGAGGTAGACAATCCCCTTGACTACTGGGCAACGAAACTTGACCTTTGGCCCCAACTAGCTGAATTTGCCCTTGAAAGGCTGTCATGCCCGGCCAGTAGCGTGGTATCGGAGCGCGTGTTTAGTGCGGCAGGAGGTATTGTAACTCCGCGGAGGACACGACTGTCCACCCAAAGTGTGGAGAGACTCACGTTTGTGAAAATGAATCAGGCGTGGATTAGTCTGGATTTCAAACCACCAGTTCCTGACACAACTGACTAAATCCGCCATGAAATCATGCCCCTGCCATGTGCCACTTTCAGGTCTCCTCACACTGCTGGTGTGTTCCATTTTTGTCATAGGGTGCTGGCAGATTACGGGCCTCCCATAGCTGCTGCCAGGACCTAATCTGCCATGGGCCCCTGTACCGCCTCCTCATGCTGCTGCCAGGTCCACAGTGTCTCATGCCATGTGCCACTTTCAGGTCTCCTCACACTGCTGGTGTGTTCCATTTTTTGTCATAGGGTGCTGGCAGATTACGGGCCTCCCATAGCTGCTGCCAGGCCCCTAATCTGCCATGGGCCCCTATACCACCTCCTCATGCTGCTGCCAAGTCCAGAGTCTCTCATGGGTCCCTGTACGGCCTCCCATTGCTGCTGTCTCCATCGCCACACTCTTCCATGTGCCACTTTCAGGTCTCCTCACACTGCTGGTGTGTTCCATTTTTTGTCATAGGGTGCTGGCAGATTACGGGCCTCCCATAGCTTCTGCCAGGCCCCTAATCTGCCATGGGCCCCTGTACCGCCTCCTCATGCTGCTGCCAGGTCCCAGTCTCTCATGCCATGTGCCACTTTCAGGTCTCCTCACACTGCTGGTGTGTTCAATTTTTTGACATAGGGTGCTGGCAGATTACGGGCCTCCCATTGCTGCTGCCAGGCCCCTAATCTGCCATGGGCCCCTATACCGCCTCCTCATGCTGCTGCCAAGTCCAGAGTCTCTCATGGGTCCCTGTACGGCGTCCCATTGCTGCTGTCTCCATCGCACACACTCTGCCATGTGCCACTTTCAGGTCTCCTCACACACTGCTGGTGTGTTCAATTTTTTGACATAGGGTGCTGGCAGATTACGGGCCTCCATAGCTGCTGCCAGGCCCCTAATCTGCCATGGGCCCCTGTACCGCCTCCTCATGCTGCTGCCAGGTCCACAGTGTCTCATGCCATGTGCCACTTTCAGGTCTCCTCACACTGCTGGTGTGTTCCATTTTTTGTCATAGGGTGCTGGCAGATTACGGGCCTCCCATAGCTGCTGCCAGGCCCCTAATCTGCCATGGGCCCCTATACCACCTCCTCATGCTGCTGCCAGGTCCAGAGTCTCTCATGGGTCCCTGTACGGCCTCCCATTGCTGCTGTCTCCATCCCCACACTCTGCCATGTGCCACTTTCAGATCTCCTCACACTGCTGGTGTGTTACATTTTTTGTCATAGGGTGCTGGCAGATTACGGGCCTCCCATTGCTGCTGCCAGGCCCGTAATCTGCCATGGGCCCCCGTACCGACTCCTCATGCTGTGACATTGCAACAAGGTGGAATTCAACCCTACATATTTTAGACCGCCTTTACGAACAGCGAAAGGCCATCACAGATTTCCTGATGTTAAAAGCGGATAAAGGTACTCCCTGTGTAACTTAGATGTCAGCCATTGGCAGCTCATGCGTGACACCTGCGCTTGCTCAGGCCCTTTGAGGAGGCCACGCTATTCGTGAGTCGGCAGGACTATGGGATGAACGACGTCATTCCTCTGTTGCACGTCCTGGAACAAATGCTGTTAACAATGGCTGGTCAGGGTGCGGTAGACGTGGCGCACAGATCTCAACACCACATGACCCCTGTGGGGGCAGGACAGGAAGAAGAGGAGGAGGTAGAGGAGGACATTTGTGCTCAGGAATTATTGAGTGAAATGGGTGGTTTTTTCCACTCAGCGGACAGGATTGGAGGAGCAGGAGCATCTGGTAGAGGAGGAGGAAGAGGAGACAGAGGACCCAGACGCACCGTGGCAGTATGCTGTGGAGATGGAGGCAGGGAGTCCCTCGCATTCCTTGGCACAAATGGCCCATAGCATGCTCGTTGCTTGCGTAGCGACAGCCGAATAATAACCATCAGACAGAGGGATGACTTTTGGCTGTCCACCTTGTTGGACCCTCGCTACCGTTCAAAAATGGTGGCCTTTTTTCACACCTGCTGAGAGGGAGGCCAAAATAACGTACTATAAAAACACCTATGTAGTCAGCTGGTCTCTGCCTTTCTGCGCCAACGTCCATCCTCAGACACTGTGGGCCCTGTGCGCTCGCGTTCCGCTGCCATGGCAGCAGGGGAGGGGTGGGGTGGTAGGAGCAGTGGCAGCTCCACCAGCAGCAGCTGCCTCAGTCTGCAGTCGATGATGAGTAGCTTTCTTCACCAGCGCAGTGAGGAAACTACTAACCAGCCGCAGCAGCAGCAGCAGCAGCATCAGGTGGACCTGGAGCAGGACCTCAAACAACAGGCTTAGGCCTACTTGGACAGCACCCTGCCAACCGAGGTAGACAATCCCCTTGACTACTGGGCAACGAAACTTGACCTTTGGCCCCAACTAGCTGAATTTGCCCTTGAAAAGGCTGTCATGCCCGGCCAGTAGCGTGGCATCGGAGCGCGTGTTTAGTGCGGCAGGAGGTATTGTAACTCCGCGGAGGACACGACTATCCACCCAAAGTGTGGAGAGACTCACTTTTGTGAAAATGAATCAGGCGTGGATTAGTCTGGATTTCAAACCACCAGTTCCTGACACAACTGACTAAATCCGCCATGAATCATGCCCCAAACATGTGCCACTTTCAGGTCTCCTCACACTGCTGGTGTGTTCCATTTTTTGTCATAGGGTGCTGGCAGATTACGGGCCTCCCATAGCTGCTGCCAGGCCCCTAATCTGCCATGGGCCCCTATACCGCCTCCTCATGCTGCTGCCAAGTCCAGAGTCTCTCATGGGTCCCTGTACGGCCTCCCATTGCTGCTGTCTCCATCGCCACACTCTGCCATGTGCCAGTTTCAGGTCTCCTCACACTGCTGGTGTGTTCCATTTTTTGTCATAGGGTGCTGGCAGATTACGGGCCTCCCATAGCTGCTGCCAGGCCCCTAATCTGCCATGGGCCCCTATACCGCCTCCTCATGCTGCTGCCAGGTCCAGAGTCTCTCATGGGTCCCTGTACGGCCTCCCATTGCTGCTGTCTCCATCGCCACACTCTGCCATGTGCCACTTTCAGGTCTCCTCACACTGCTGGTGTGTTCCATTTTTTGTCATAGGGTGCTGGCAGATTACGGGCCTCCCATAGCTGCTGCCAGGCCCCTAATCTGCCATGGGCCCCCGTATCGACTCCTCATGCTGCTGCCAGGCCCGTAATCTGTCATGGGCCCCTGTACCGCCTCCTCATGCTGCTGCCAGGTCCAGAGTGTGTCATGGGTCCCTGTACGGCCTCCCATTGCTGCTGTCTCCATCGCCACACTCTGCCATGTGCCACTTTCAGGTCTCCTCACACTGCTGGTGGTTTTCATTTTTGTCATAGGGTGCTGTATGGCCTCCCATTGCTGCTGCCTCCACCGCCACACTGTGGCTCCACACTCTGGTTTTGGCCCCGTGACTGCCCAAATGAGTGAAGTGTGCGGTGATTCTAAGATCGACGGCACTCATCTGCATGTCATACTGACTGTCAGTATTATTTCTCTTCCCCAGCAGACTCCAAGGGCATTTAAATTAAAGGTACAGTGTTCTGCACTAATATAAAGGCTCTCTGAAGCCTAGAAACACCCTTTTATAAGTTAAATTCGCAGCGAATATATTCGACTCGAATCAAAATTTTTCCACGAATTCGCCAAATCAGTCGAATCGAATTTTTGAATACTTCGCTCATCTCTAGTTCCAATGTGTCTAGTTGTATGTGGTACTGTCTTGGGAAGGCATTGAGGTGAGGCTATGTAACAGGGTGTGGCATAGTCATACAGTTATCATGGTGAGTTCCACTCTGTAGTTGTTCATAAGTCATGTACTGCGTTGAAAGAGGACAATGCGAAAAGGTCTCCTTATACTGTGTCAGTTCAGACAGAAGATATCAACTTTATATGAAGTCTTGCAGTGAAATATGAAATACATAGCACCTTAGTATACAGGAATGCAGGCCGAGGTCCAACCATGCGTTTTTGCAATCCTGATATAAGGGATATATCAGCCCCAACCGAGGCTTATTACGCTGTGCAACAGACCATTACCACAGATGTAGGTCGACCTACTAGTAAGCGAGGTTATGATAAGCTGCTGAAGAGGAACTGTGGCCTGTTGAGAGCGTGGTCCAGAATAATCTAAATACATATATTTAAAACTAACATAGCTGTAAAGCGAACCAGTAATATACTTAAACTTTAGGGAAATCGTATGCTTTAGACATAACTCAACACCTTGTCCAAGGGCAGTTAGAAAGTGTGCATTTGAAAATGATTTGGAACCTAGATTTCTAAGGTAGTCACACCCCATTTTGGGAAGAATGTGAAGGCCAATAAATAAGGGGAGAGGGAGGTGATGCATAAGGGATAATGGGGGGGAGGGAAAAGGGTATTAATGCATTGCATATAGTATCTCAAGCATTGATGCATAAATCTGGGTACGTTCATAGACGTGGAGGGGAGCATTATGTTCAAGGAAAGGTCCCTATGGGCTCATTTGTAGTCAAGAAGCTCGTGGGGAGACATTATAGGCAAGATATGTATCGGGGTATGACATGGTCACCTAATAACAGCCCCAAAGAGCCGTAATATAAACATAAAAAAGAGATACAGAGATCGTTCTGAAATATCTCATGGGCCATAGAATATGTTCCTAACGGGTAAGTCAGGAAGGCCTCAATAAACCGCATTATTGCAAACACATGATCACAGTCACATGAGATTCCCTGTTTAAGGACAATAATTGCGAAATGTGTTGAGATTCAGTGACTCAGGCATATGTCGAGGGAAATGAGCAGTCTGTATCTCTGGATCTCAAGCAAATAAAAACTCTGGTCTCAGCTGAGGCTATCAGCATAGTGTAGTGGGCCATCACTTACTAAACAAACGAACACCAGAGTCGGTGAGATTATGAACCCTGGCCCTATTAACATCATTATCATGCAGCCGGTAAAGAACAAGAGCTACTATGATCTCAGTATCTATATTCAAAATTGGTGAACACATATAATGGACAGATAGTATACATGAGAGGTAGGACAGTCTAATACCCTCACGTCTTGTCCCAAGGTGGATAGGATTTCCATTGAAGGTGAAGTGGGACCATGGTTTAGAGAAGAATCGTGTGATATATTAGCTCAGGTGTGAGAGTAGCCATAAAGTGGGGAGATGGCAATGCACGGGTGTGGGGAGAAGGGGGAACGGAGAAGTGTCATTCATGACGTGCCTTGCGATAGGCTGGTGAGGCTGGAAGACTGTCCCCAGTGATGAGCCTTCGTCGAACCGGAGAGGACGAGGTGCGGTGGGATGGTCTGCGTCGCCTGGCTCCTCCAGGATGTCCAGCAGATTGGGCCTCCATTGGGTCTTCCTCTGTCTGGGATGGCAGGTGGGATTCGCCTGACCAATTGGGTATTTCTATTATTGAAATATCAAGAGCTTTGCAAAATGGTGCAATATCTTCTGGGAATTTCAGGAGGGCTGAACGCCCCATGTGTGTTGCTGAGAGGCCAAATGGGAATCTCCAGCGGTAAGCAATACCCCTGGAACGCAGTAGATCCAATAAAAGGCGTAAGTCATTTCTGCGTTGCAAGGTAAGATGGGAGAGATCCTGAAATATAATTTGATTTCTGCTCCATTATATATCACGTGG